CGACAGAGACAGAGAGGAAACTGGGAGTGGGTGGGTGAGTGCAGTGGGAGGAGCTGGCTCTGACTTGACCCCTTGAACTTGAGTAGAGATAACATGTTAGCTTGTTGGCAGCTGGTCCCACTTGAGATTAAGTTGGGGCAGTGGGGAGAGAGAGGCCACCGTGGCTGCTGTAAGAAGTGGGTGAGCGTGGGCACGTCTGTGGGAGGTTCTGAGTGGAGGTCGGAAGCAGGAGGTGGAGAGGTGGTGGTGTGGGGTGTCAGAGGAAGTGGGATGAAACCTTGGTGAAGGCTGAAAACCCTCACTGTGAGGGGCTCCTCTGGAGGTGCTGGGGGCTGGAGTCAGCAAGAGGGACCAGGTGATGCTAAGAGTAAGAGCTGTGCTGTGTCCTGGAAGGGACCACGGTACCTCACTCCTCCACAGGAAACCCAGCCGTCAGGCCCCAAGTCTCAAGGGTGGACGCTGAGATCACAGCCCGCTTACAAACAAAGTGGGTCATTTCACCTGCTACGCTCCCTCTTGAGGCAGCCTCCAGCCCTCACAGATGACGCCCCACCACCCTTCTCACAGTGTCCCCTGTTAGCAGCTTGCTGCAAGACGTTTGGGACCCTTGGTTTTTTATAAGCAATTTTGCAAATATAGGTGACCCCTCTGTAGCAGAATCTGAAGTGCTCCTGAGAGCAACAGTTTTGCTTACAATATATTTTATACAAAAAAACAATGAGAGTAACCTTTTTGAGATACAATGTATTAGGTTACTGTCTGGGCACTGATAATGGTGATGTGTCCCTAACCATGCTGCATTTCCCTAATGTTGCCGAACATCCAAACCTATTGCCAAGGAGATTGACTCCTGGCAACCCTCCACTCGCGTTTCAGGGCCTGTCCCTCTTTACCGGAACGGGCAGGTGGATTCGAACTGGAGAACAGTCAGCAGCGCGATGCTTGGCTGCTGAGCCGTCAGGACCCCCTCACAAACATCCGCACAACAGGTGATCACGTGTTTCTGCATTTACAGCAACAGATAGCTGATCACCGGATGCTTTCCTAAACGTGCTAACTTCCGGGCATGCTTTAGCCCTTGGTTCTGAATCATCCTGAGGTGTGTCCCCCCTCTCCTGCTCTGGTTACGTTGTGTTGTTTTTGTAAGGCACCTTCAAGTTGATCACGACTCCGAGTGACCTTATTAACCACACACGAAAAGCTTGTCCAGTTCTGTGTCCTCACAGTCTCTGCCGTGCTCAGCTCTGCAGTCACTGTGTCAGTCCATCTCGTTAGGATTGTCTTCTCTTTCACTGAGCTCCTGCTCTTACAAGCAAGATGTCTCTTTCCCAGGACAGGCCCCTCCTGACAACATGCCCAAAGTATGTGAGAGGAAGTTGTTTGCTCCAGGGAGCGCTTACAGCTCCTCCAGGACAGATAGGCTTGTGTCTTTAGCAGGCCGTGATCTATTCACGTCTCTCCTCCAGCATTAAAATTAAAGGCAACAATTCTTCTGTCATCCTTCTTAATTGTCCAACTTTCAGGTACATAGGAAGCAATTGAAAATACCGTGGATTGGAACAGGGTTGCCTTAATTTTTAACGAACATCCTTACTCTCTAAGTTACCTTGTGCTGTAATGGAAATAGAACAAAACAATAATCTGTTAAAATATGGATGATGCCACTGAAATGGGACCCAGGTTGGTAGTTTGCTGGTCAACAGGAAGCAGTAGGACTGGAGAAGGACTCTCTGGGGTGGGCAGGACGTTTCCAGCAATGAGCGTGGAAGACCTGCTCCCCTGTGTTGCCCAGCAAAACACTGTCCCTGAAGTTTACATGCAAATGCAGCACATTTTTTGCCCTGGGTAGTGCATTGAGGGTAAAAAAAAATGGACACGTTGTTACAGTAGGTTTTCAGACAGAGCGTGCAGAGTGATGGACATTTAGGTCTAACATGTGCTCCGGGCACAAACATACGCACACACAACGTGTAAATCCAGTCTCCTCTCCTCATAAGCGTGGTCATGGGTTTTTTTCTCATGTCAACCCACAAGGTGTTTAAAATGCTGACTAAAAGGTTGGTGGTTCAAACCCACCGGAGACTCTGCTCTAGGAGAAAGAGGAGGCAGTCTGCTTCTGGGAAGACTGACGGCCTTGGAAATTGTGGGGGGCAGTCCTGCTCCGTCCTGCAGGGCTTGGTTTGGGGTTTGTGTGCAGGCACCTGTGTTCTCACCAGCCAAGCTGGCTCACTCTCACTCGTTGACCTCGACACGGAGCCTGTTCACAGCTGACTCCAGCCGGTTTTCATAGACTGTCACACGAGAGGAGACGGCCCGTCTTACTCTAGCGCAGCTGCTGTGGATCTGAGCCGCCAGGGGGGCCCTGCCCTCGGGCTGGCAGCACAATGCCTCGCCCACAAGGCCACCAGAGCGCCCTGCATGTAAAATGAGGGGCCTTAGGAGCACTGGTGGCCTAGTGGCAAGAAGCTGCGCTGCAATCCCAAAGGCAGGTGGTTTGAAGCCACCAGCTGCTCTGTGGGAGGATAGACAGTCTCCTCCCCTGCGATTAACTCCTCTGAAATCCCTCCGGAGGGTGAGCTATGGGTGGGTTCTGACTTGACAGCACAGAACAACAATACAGTGTTACCTCTTATCATCAGGCTGACTTAAGAGGGTCTCTAGGAGTTAAGATTGATGACACCTGACAGTGATTCTCTCTTATATGTATCTGGCTTCATTCAATTACATTAGTAACTTGTGAACTCACTCATTTTTGGGAATATTTGTAAAGTGTGTGTAGACCTCCCTACCCGTAGGATCCCGATGGTTAAATTCTGGGCTGAGAGAGCGTAGCTCCGTGCAGTTCTCGGTGGAGGCTGGAGCTCAGATCCAGGTACTCTGGCTGCAGGCTGGGCCTCAAAGCTCCCTGCCCAGACACAGGCTCAGGCTTAAGGCGAAGAACTCCAGGCCACAAACTGGGCTAGGACTCAAGTGCATTGGCTGCAGACCGGAGCTCTGACCCAGGCTCTCTGGCTCTAGAGTGCCCCTTCCATCTCTCAGCTATGCGGCTTCTCAGAGTTAAGTGGCCCTGGTGTACATTGGAGTTTGAGACCCCAGCTCCCAGCTTTTATTCGGAGTGTCAGGACAGAAAGGTGGTTGGGTTCTCCCTTGGTCGAGTGCGTGGGGCTCGGCCCAGCCTGGTGCTCACATCCCTGCTGGAGGTATCGCCGTTCAGCGAGGTGCCCTGGTCATCAATGGAAGATCGCATGTTGAGCGCTGCAGCAATGCCCAGTGGCCCCGGCTTTGCTGATTTCCAAATAGCAAACCACCTCCAGTGGAGAAGGACTTCCTTCCTGCTTTCATGGGGCTCCTGGTAACAAGGGGGTGTCCCAGCAGTGGGAAGCCCTCGGGTGGCCTGTGGGGCTCATCTGCTGCTCACCAGAAGGGCCTCGGAAGCGGTAGTGACAGGAGAGCTCAGCCACAGGGCTCGGCAGGCGGCGGTGATGCGTCCACGTGTGGGCCCATGCCTGGCCTGAAGGCCACAGCCACATAGTGTGGTGAACGCCTTCCCCCAGCCCCTGGGTGTGCTGAGAGAGGGCGAGCTCCACTCCTGGGCATATTCCCAAGCCCATTGGCAGAGGCCCTGGGTCAGTCCATCACCTTGAGGGTCTTTTTCTTTTTGTTTTCCTTTCTGACCTACTTTTCCAAGAATGATGGCCTTTTTCAGGGACTGACCACACACTCCCTTCCCCCATAACGTGTCCAGTGTATGTAGTTTAAGTGTCCTCACCCTCATCTCTAGCAAGCTTGCTGGCTGCCCTTTTCCCATGACAGTCTTCCTTGTTCTTTGGCAGTCCATGATATATTCAATCCTTGTGAGAATTTATGTTTCGCTCATGTTCGGGCGTGTAATGCATGGTGAACCCGTAGTCTTCGAGTCTTCCTCAGTCAGTGCTTCACGTCATCGTTGGTTTTGGTCATTTTGGTGAGCGGGGTTGCATCATCTGCATGAAGGAGGCTGTGGACGAGTCCTCTCCAATTCTGATGTCATCTTCTTGTCGTTCCTTGATGTACACGTTTAGAGAATGTTATCACGTGTGGAGACATGGAAGCACCACATACTCAGGGTACAGAATACACGTTGTTTAAAGACGTATTACCTCTTGCCTCCCATTTCTAGAACTTTCAAGCCAGCTAGATTCACGACAGAAAAGCGAGGTTTCAGTTCATTCTGTCGTCTTTCCGCTCTTCGTCTCTGTCAGCTCTTCTTAAGGGTTTGGCCGAGACATAGTCTAGATTCAAGGACAGCTGGCTATGTGTCTCAGACACGTCGGAGGGTGGCATCCAGTGGGCCACCAAACTAGGATTCCTCTGTGTTTTCCATTCTTTCCCACTAGGTGGGATGGTCCCCCAAATCCTGATGACTTTCTAACTTCTGGGTCCTGCCTGCTTTTCCTCTCTCCATGACCTTGAGCTGAACCAGTTGAGTGCTGGTGGACTGTCAGGGTCAAGCTTTCACACTGACTAGAGCTGGCCAGCCCCCAGAACAGCCTTTCTGACCCTGCAGGACCACCTCTGACCATCCCTGTCTCTTTCTGTCACTCTGAGTTGCATTACAAAAACCAGTTGCCAGGGAGCTCTGGTGGGCTAGTGGCAAGAAGCTGCACTGCAACCCCAGAGGTGCTAGTTCAAATCCACCAGGTGCTCTGCTGGAGAAGGAGGGGCAATCTCCTCCTGCACCAGTCAGATCTGATTTGATGGTACACCCCCCCTCCCCCAACAACCAGTCGCTGTAGTTTAGACTGTCTGAGCAAGAGGGTGGGGGACCTGAGACCCTTAGCATCCCACTAGCTTGTGGGGAGGTGCCTGACTCCCAGGCAGGTTCTAGCAGGAGGGGAGCCTGATGTGGAGGTGGCCTCGGGGTTCCCTTCTAACGGGGAGGATCTGGGGGTGCCGGGTGTGGCGGCACCTTCAGGTGATGTGATGGCTGACTTGTTGCTGGCCACGTGGTCTCCTTTCAGTGGACATCATGGAAATCAAGGAGATCCGCCCCGGGAAAGGCTCCAAGGACTTTGAGCGCGCAAAAACCGTCCGTCAGAAGGAGGACTGTTGCTTCACCATCTTCTACGGGACCCATTTTGTTCTCAGCACCCTCAGCTTGGCAGGTGAGCACGTACCTGGGCTTCCTGCTTCCCTCCTCACCCCCCCCCACCTCCCAGGGGCCCCTGCCGGGCATTACCTCCCAGGTGCCCCTGCCCGCATCACCTCCCAGGGGCCCCTGCCGGGCATCACGTCTGTGAGTTCAGCCCTGGCCCCTGCCGGGCATCACCTCCTAGGGACCCTCCCAGGCATCGCTTCTTAGGGTCCCCTGCCAGGCATCACCTCTCAGGGACCCTCCCCGGGCATCACCTCCCAGGAACCCCTGCCAGGCATCACCTTCCAGGGACCCCTCCTGGACATCACTTCCCAGGGACCCCTGATGTGAGTTCAGCCCTGGCACTGTCTGCCTGTGCCCCTTCACCTCTCTGAACGGCAGTCTGTTCAGCTGTGAAGTGGGCAGAGACTGTGGAGAATTCCACCTGGCTCGGCAGGGTGCCTGTGGGAAGTATACGTTAAGAGCCTGCCTGGCTGCGCTAAGAGCTTGGTGAATGGCTGTTGGCTCGGGTTGTGTGGGAGGAACCGGGTAGTCGGCAGACGTTACTCAGCACACACCACCCAGGTGACTCAAAAGAACTATTCTGCACTCTCCTATTTCTCACACACACATGCGCACACACAGACATAGGTACACATATACTCAAGCCTGTGTCTGCATGCACACATAAATGCACAATGCATGGACAGCCATGCACACATTCTTGTACATGCATGGACAGCCGCGTACATAAGTGTACACACATGCACACCCCACACAGACACTTACGTGTGTCTGTAACATGCGTGCATGTGGGCACAGTCATGAGCTCGTGCACAAAGGTACCTAGAGTCCTGAGCATGTTTGCAGACATGCACACAGGTGCACACACACATGCACACACGCAGGCACACGGACCTGGAGGTGAGGGTGCTGGCATCCCCGAGACTCCTCCAGGCAGGAGAAGGTGAGTCCCAGAACTTTGCACGCATGTGAAGAAGCACCGACCTGTTACTCGGGGCTGACGTCTGCAGCCGCCTGTGGTCTAGTTTCAGAGTGCACTGACATGGAAGAGTGCGGACAGTCGCTCTGATGAGAGAGGAGGTGCTGTTACTGTGTACCGTCGTGTCGGCACCAGCCCACGGCTGACCCTCTGGCGGGCTCTCAGAGGCAGGGAATCGTGTGGGAGGAGACTGCCCATCTTTTGCCTTTTGCTGCAGCTGGTGGGTTTGAACCTGTGCCCTTGGGTTGGCAACATAGCTCCTTACACAAGCCATCAGCGCTAATTACTGTTCAGAGCAGATCTGCTTTTAGGGGGCACAACCAGTGAAAGCGTAGCAGTGTGGGGACATCTAGTTTGGGGTCTGATCGTTCTCCTTTGTCTCCTTTCTCATCTCTGTCACCTTCAAGCCCATGGTGGTGCCAGCTGTCATGGGGGCTGTGACGATGGCTAAGACCCGTTGCCCCTCTCAGGAGCTCTCAGTCTCTGCTGGGGTGGGGAGAAAATGGGTAGGCTGCCTGCCCTGTGATAAGTCTGTGCTCCGAGCACCTCATACCACTGCAGGGGTGCAGAGCGCCTTATTCCAGGGAAGGTGTGCAGAGGAGGTGACTTGTATTTTGATGAGGGGATGCCTTGAAGTGTCCACAGGAGCAGGAAGGAAGGAGGGAGCGCAGCCTGGCATGCACAAGGCCACAGACAGGGGAAATCGTCTGTAGGATGGGGAATGGTGTGTGTGTGCCTGTCACCTGACCTGGAGATGGGCTGGGCCAGGACAGAGGGAGGCCCCTCAGAGCTGTGCCCACCGCCCTCATCTGCAGCCTGAGGCCTGGCCACGGTTCTGCGGTTGAGGATCCCAAGGCTAGGAGCCCAGGGTGCCAGCTGTGGTGTCTGTCCCACTTTGAGATCCTTTCTTGAGGAGCTAGAATCCTAGCTTCAGAGCTTGGAAATGACCACGGCCCCGACCAAGCTGGGAGAGTTCCTGAGACTGTGCTGTGAGCTGCCTGCGGTCCAGTTCCTCAGCTTTTTCAGCCACACAGTTGGCGTGGATTGCAGCAAGAGGCTCTGAAATCCTGTGTCTGTTCCCATGGGCGATGTGGCCTTGGACCTGTCCCTTAATGTGTCTGAGGCGTGCTCGTGTTCTCACGTAGCTGTTCCCAGTGCCTCTCCCAGGGCCTCGCTGTCAGGGTGCGATCAACGATGCAGGAAGAGCATGTACTCAGAACACGTTCGCTGCCTTTCCAACCCCACAACGTTGGTAATCCCCCCCTCCGCCCCGGCTGATCCCTGTGGGCATGTGGAAATAAATTCACATGTCAGGAGAAAGTGGGCTCTTCTTGGAACAAAAAGCAGGTTCTTAAGAGCCATGAACAATCCTTGAGAGGCATAAAGGGTAATGAGAAAGGTTGGCATAGGTTGACATTGCAAATCTACCCAGAGAAGCCCAGGGAACCCCAGTGGCCTAGTGAAAAAAGAGTTGTGCTGCCAACCCAAAGCCATGTGGTTCAAATCCAGCAGGTGCTCTGTGGAGAGATGGACACACTCCCCTCATGCAGTTTACAGCGTCTGGAAACCCTAGAGGACAAGTTGTGAGTCAGATCATGCTCAGTGGCTCATAACAACAACATTAACAACAACAGAGGTACCAGGGAGTAAAGACCCGGGGATTTTTTCTCTAGGGTTGGTCTTTGGCAACCTCATTGGGCACAATTTTACTCTGACACAGATTTGCCCTGAGGCAGACTTGATGCCTCCTTTGATGCCCTCCTGAGAAAGCAAGGTCACTGAAGGCTTCGTCTGTCCCTGCGGACTGTGTAGGTCCGGGGAGGCAGGACCCCGGGTCTGGAATCGATCTCTGCCCTGTCGCTAACCCAGCATCTCTTCTCTCTCACCTCTCCAGCGGACTCCAGGGAGGATGCGGTCAAGTGGCTCTCGGGCTTGAAGATCCTGCAGCAGGAAGTGAAGACGGCCTCCACACCCACGATTATCGAGAGGTGCTTGGCTCGGGGCTGCCCCTTGGGGTGTTAGCTTCTCACGGCATTTGTCCTCCCTCTAGATGGCATGGGGGGGCGGCGATGAAGAGCCCGGCCATCTCCTCATCCCTCTTCAATGAGCATCTTCTGAATGGCCAGCTCTCTGTGCTGTCTGTGGTCCCTCTGTGCTGGGACGTAGCCTGGCCTTTTAGGGCAAGACCAAAGAGTCCTTGACGAGGCTGTGAGTGAGTGGGGAGCAGAGGACTTCCTTCTTAAGTCTATTTTCAAGGCCTGTGGATCTCTGGACAGTCTGATGTAGGGGTCTGGCTTTCTGTCACCCCTTCATAGGCTGGTCAGGGGCTCCTGGCAGAACTGTCCATAGTGTCCTTGTTGGCATTTGTGGGTGAGTTCTTTTTCTCCCCAGGAAGCCAGAGCTCTCTAATTTGCACAGCTTTTATTTCATTTTGGGAAGGGGATGTCAACAAGTATCAAAGAGAAGTAGCAGCTTTAAAACCTGCTTCTCCTTGAAAGGCTCTGCCAGGGAACTCCAGCCCCAGAGAGACAGCTTCCACGGTGCCCTTGGGAGGAGGCGGAATCCTCCTTTTCCGGTTTCCACGTCCCTGTCCCATTAGCATTGACTCAGATGTGTGCACTGACTTCTAATGCCTTCTTTCTGTTCTTCCTTTCTCTCTGGTCTTAACTCTCCTCCCAGTTGGCTGAGGAAGCAGATTTATTCTGTGGATCAAACCAGAAGAAATAGGTAAGAGGAGTTCCCGCTTTTTCCACCATCATCTTACCATTTGGGATTCTTGACGTCTGTTGACAGTGAAGTCTGTGAAATTCAGAATGTGTGTCAGGCAGACACCTGGCGGAGAAGGGAAACGACACGTTCTTGGCTGAAACGATCGACAGAGAAATGACGAGACTGGTCTCCATCAAAGACGGAAAGCTGTGACCTCCACTTAAGGCAATCCTGTGAAGTTCCCACTGTGGGGCGCTTGTTTAAGTGTTCTGGGGGATGTGGGTTGTGCTGTGTGGGTGTGGCCTTCTGGAGGTCACACTTGGTCTGCAAGGTGCAGACATTGTGCTCTGGGCTGAGGCTGGCGGGGGGCCTACCTGAGCCTCCGCTCTAGTGGACACTCGAGCCCACTATCGCAGGGCCTGGGGACGACCTCCTCCTCCAGTCCTTGTTGGTTTCAGCCCATCACAGACACTCTAGTGCCTCTGTCTCTCAGGTTCACCAGGTTGCCCGCCTCACATTTCTGCGTTTGCTGTAGAACCTGGATTGACTGTGGCGATGTTGGGTGCCACCCAGTCACCTCCAGCTCAGTGACTCACTGTACAACGGGTCAGGCCCCTGACTGAGCCTCCGTCATCCTGACACTGCTGTGCCAGCGTCCACTGTGACAGTCACTGTGTCAGTGCATCTTGTTGAGGGGCCTCCTCTCCTTTCCAGCCCTCCGCCTTCCAAGGATGATGTCCCTCCGAGGACTGGCCCCTCTGACAGCCTGCCCAGAGGATGCGAGACGAAGTCTCACAGTTTTTGTCTCCAAGGAGCACTGTGTGACTCGATTCTTCAAAGATACATTTGTTTATTCCGTTGCAGCCCAGGACATATCCAAAACTTTGTTCCAATATCATAATTCAAAAGCATTAATCAATTCTTTTTCCATCTTCCTTATTCATTGACCCTAAAGAAGCCAGTCTGATGACATGGCGATGTTTGTTAAGAAATGAGCAGAAATAACAATGATGTGATAATGTAAATGAGATTGCATGACTTTTCTCCCCAAGTAACTGTGTCTTGGGGACATTCCCTCTCAGCACCTCCTTCCGCGCTGGCCCTTTAGAAACAGCCGCGTAGGTCTTGAATGTTGGTCAGCCTTGGGTGCTGTTGGCTCTGCTCCAGCTCCTGGTGACCCTTCGTGCAGCAGAACCAGACGCCGCCCGGTCCGGCGCCTCCCTGTCCTCTCCTCCTCGCTGAAGCCTGCTGCTGCGGTCGCTGTGCCGCTCCGTCTCCTTGAGGCTCTTCCTCTTTTGCTGTGACCCCCCCCCATTTCACCAAGCGTGGTGTTCTCCAGGGACTGGGCCTTCCTGAGAACATGCTCTGAGCGTGTGCAATGAAGCCTCACCGTTCTCGCCTCCCGGGGGCATTCGGAGGTCACAGCAGTTTCTTTCTGCCTAATGTGCTGGAGGGCACCGCTTCCCTCACAAGAATGGAGTTTCCTGAAGGAAAACAGAAGAGGAACAGAAGTGAAGGAGAGGCAGCAGGCAGCAGGGACTGGGCTCTGGGGACACTCAGCTCAGGGGGATCCCCTGTTAACAGGTGCTGTCCTCACTTCCTGTGTCACCTCGCAGTGTCTAGAGCCAGAAGGGGTTGAGGTCTGCAGAGCACAGGACCCAAGACTAGACTTGGACCTTCCCTCATCTGGTGGGTGAAACCTTGTGAACTGTTCACCACAGAGGAGCGATCACAGGTCCGCCTGTGGTGTCTTGCGTGTTGGGTCCTGGGCCCCTGTTAAGACACGCCCCTGCTGTATGTGGGCCAGCCGCCCAACTCAGCCAGCTCTCCTCTTGTTTTCCTGGAAGCCCTCCCATCTTGAAGAGACCTTTGCCTCTGGCCTCCCCCCATCACTTTGAGGGCATGTCTTGGGTGCTGCCTTCCATGGACGCCCAGCATATGTGAACATGAACATGAACATGAATGCCTGGGTGCTTGCAGGTTCAGTCGTGTGGTTAAGCCCGCTCATAGCTCATTGCGTGTCTTCCTGTCCATCTGCTGCTCCCTCCTTTTCCCCCTCCTGTGGGGCATTCACTCCTGGGTAGCACACTTGGAACCAGGCACTGGTGCCACCCAGAGCAGCACATGGGGGCCTTCGTGCACACTTCTCCCGTTCACCCCCCGCAGTGACGTCTCCTGTTTTCCTTCTCGGTGGCTTATGGTGACTCATGGCTGAGTTGGCACAGAGATGGCCGACGAAGCCCCTCTGGGCTTTCCGCTCAGAGGCGGTACGGGGCAGGCGAGCTGGTAACGCGTTGGCTCTTCCCTCTCCGGCTGCTGAGGCTGGGAAGCTCCTCCTTAACTGAGAAGGAGCCCTTCGTCCTTCTCTTGTCTGTCCAGCACCTTCAGCAGAAAAGCAGACCTGTTTCTGGGCTGAACTCCTTGTGGGGCCACCACGCCCTCTCCCCGCTGCCCTGGTGTTGGGCAGAGCCATGCTGTTCTGTCAACACGTGGAAAAATCCCACCTTTCCTATGAGGCCTGGAGGGAGGAACTTGGACCCAGGTACCAGCAAAAGGGCAGCCGCCTTCCGTTTTAACAGCCTCCCCTCCCTTTCCTGTCGCCCATGAGTAATTATGTTTCCTGAAGGAGAACAAAGGAGCGACAGAAGGAAAGAGGTGAGGTAGCAGGAGCCGGGCTCTGAGCAGGGCGAGCTTGGGGCCATCTGCTTCTCGGGGCTACTGTCCTTGTCCCCAACTCCCACCTCAGCCTTCACAGTCTCTGGAGGAGATAGAGGCAGCAGCTCACGTCTGACAGCACGCCCTCACGCACTGCATCTCCACTTTAATGGCGTGTTCTCAGCCCCCTCTGACATAGACCCGTTTTATAAATGAGGAGACTGAGACCCAGAGGAATTAAGTCATGTGTCCCAACCTCATCAGGCTAGCTTTTGGTTGAGTGTGCCTGTTGCTACTTAGTTACTTCTATTTTAAAAGTTCAGTGTTACTTAGTTTCTTTTCTCTGTTCCTTGTCTGTGAGAGAGATGATACTAGTCTCTGCCTCATAGGGTTGGTGTGAGGAGTCAGTGAGTTGGGATGTGACAGTGTAAAAAGAGCAAAGGTAGTGTGGGGACAGTCATATCTGACCTTTACCGGCTCCTCAAAGGGGAACTGTCCCCATCAACAACACAAAACGAATTCCCATGAGGTCAGAGGTGTCCCACGTGCTCCCCCACCTCTTTCTACTCATCCCAGCACCAACTTTACTGCTCTACTTGGTCCAGAATGCAGCACAATAGCTCCCAGATCTCACAGCATCATATTAAGGAAGTCAAAGGGCTATAATTCAGGTTGGCAGCAAGATAAACTCAATCAGGACAGCTTCTGAAATGTGTTTTCAGGCACATAGTTGATCCTTGTGCCTTTAGGCCAGTGCTACAAAGCTCTTTCCTGCCAACTATGGCTCTCCCTCTCCCCAAGTCCTCAAAAAAACTTGGTCACTAAAGGCTCTTAGCTTTGGTTCCACTGCATAGGATTCCCAAGGCCAAGTCTGTCCCGTGTGTGTGTGTGGGTTGTCTCTGGTTCCTTGCTTCTACGCTCCTGTAAGTCTGGCTAGCTCCAGAATCGCTGGCCCTGAAGGGCACACCGCAGTCTCTTGTTTCTTACTTGCTGATGGTAAGATTCTCAAATTCTGTTTCTGAATTCACTCAAGTTAATGGCAAGACGAGCCCGTCCCATTGTGGAGAGGCTAATAATTCTCATATTCCCACCCATCCACAAAGTTAATGTCTGAGGAAGACATTGTGAACCCATAACACCACAGACAAATATATAATAAACAGTCAACAGGGTTTTATCACTGTTGTTATGAAAAGCCAGGCGTAGCAGAGAAATTCATCTAGCATTAGAGTGGCAGTAAGTTGCATGGGATGTGCCATCTTTGATTGTTTGGTAATGTCTGCCTGGGGTACAGGTTGAAGCATTCCTTGGTTGATCTGGAAGACAGCAGTGGGATCGTTTAATGATGTCTGCCGAGAAAGTAGGAAGGGCCATTGGAGGCATGTCTGGGAATCGTTTCTGCCAGCCCTTTTCTACAGAGTGTCCTGCTTTCTGCCCCATGATCCAGGTCCAGTCCCCAGGAAGTGGGATCTGAAATGGAGATAGTGTGCAGAAAGTGTGTTGTTGTTGTAAGGTACCGTCAAGGTGATTACAACTTCCGGCGACCCTCTGAACAACAGCCCAGAACGTTGCCCAGTGCTGTACCATTGCACGATCTCTGGGCGGCCCCAGCCCATTGTTAGCCATTGTGTCACTCTCTTACTGAAGGTCTTCCTCAGAAAGAAATGTACTGTTGCTTTTATTATCACGTGCTTCTGAGTCGAGCACAACTCATAAATGACCCTGTGGTCATCAGCCCTGAGCCCTGCCCCTTCCAGGGCCATCCTCACCGTCTCTGCTCTTCTCCAGCCTCTGCGTCCGTCCGTCACTGAGGGGCTTCTTCCTTCACGGACCCTCCCTCTTCCGAGCAGGACGTTCTTTTCCAAGGAGTGGCTTCTTCTAACAAGTGTGTGAGACAGAGTTTCGTCGTCTGTGCCTCCCTCCGAGTTCACCCTGGGTGGTTTTCCTCCAGGACGTCCTTGTTCATCCTTACGTCAGTTCACGGGATAGCCATGACCCTTCTTCAACACTGTGTTCAAAGGCATTGATTCTTTCACTGTCAGCAAATGCCAAAAACCAAACACTCCAACCCAAATCCCATCGCCATCGAGTGCTAACTTTCCACTGGCTTTCTGAAGCTTTGAATCCTTATGGAAGGAGGTGGCTTATCTTTCTCCCTTGGAACAGGTGGTGGATTTGAACTACCTACCAATCTTTCAATGAACAGCCCAGCATGTAATACACCAGACTCCTGGGATTCGTGAGTGCAGAGATCATCAGTGCTGGATGGGCATGAGGGAAGTGGGGACAGAAGGACAAGGTGGCTCGGATCAAGACTTGCCTGCAACTGGTCCATTCTGGATCAACCCCCTGCTGGGAATTTGCATTTCTACCCAGAGAGGCTGACTCAGAATGCAGATCTCTGAATGCCTTCGCTCTGTGCAGTGTGACAGTGTCTCCTTGACTCAGAAGAACCACCTGCAGAGCTGAGGGCGCTCTCCCAGTCGGTGCTCATTCACCTGTTGGTCGGAGTTTCACAGGGAGGGGTGCCCGGGTGGGTGTTGATAGGAGCCCCCGCCGGTGAAAGCCCAGGCGGCTGATGGAACCGCGGTGCCCTCTTTTGCAGCATCAGCCTCCGAGAGTTGAAGACCGTCTTGCCCATGATCAACTTCAAAGTGAGCAGCGCCAAGTTCCTCAAGGATAAGTTTGTGGTAAGTTTGTAACTGAGGTCCTGGGGTTCTTCAGAGCTCAGGGCTGCCTGCCACCCCTCGCACGAAGCTGCTGAGCACCAGTGGTGCCCAGAGAAGTTCTTCATCTCCAGAGGGCAGCAGCCGTAGCTGGCCAGGGTCGTCCTGGGCTCTCGGGATCTGCTCTGAGTCCTCGCAAAGTCCTCCCTGCTGACTCCGTGAGCTGGGCTGTTTGCCTTGGAACGCCCAAGCTCTGATCTGTCATCTCGGCTCGACTCCCCTGCTTCCTTCCCCATCCAGAAGCCTCACCTCCTCCTAGTGACATGAGCAAGTGTGTTTCTTTTGGAAAAGACTATGAAAGAGCCCTTCTATAGGTTGCCAAGGTGATGGCATTTCATGTGAAAGTCCTGGCGATGCAGCTTTGGAGCTGGCCTTTCCCCTCCCTTCCTGTCCCCTGCTTCATCTCTGTCCCTTCATCCGCCCACCCATCTGTCCACTCACCCAGATGTTAGTTGTCCACTGATCTACCCACCCACCCATTTGACCACTTACCTGCCTACCTACTTGTTAATCCACTTGTCTTCCCACCCGCCCTTTTATCCATCATCTACCCATTCATCCATTCACTCACCTGTCTACCCACTCAACCATCTCTTCATCCGTCTGTCCATCATCCATCCATCTGTCCACTCATCTAGTTCATCCACTTACCACCCAGACATCTGTTCACTCATCCACTCTCCCATCCACCCACCCATCCATCCATCAATATATCCCCTCATCTACCCACCTATCCATCCACCCATCAGCCTGTCTGCTCATCTCACTATCCGTCTGTCTGTCCCTTCATGGGTATCGTGTGTTACCAGGTCATGGAGCTGTGGCCAGGAAGGGTTAGAGTACAGCAGAGTGCGTGGGGCCTCTCCACGTGGTGCGTGGAAGACGCCACGGATGGCCACCTCTTTCATCTTCTCAGCCCACTGGTGTTGAGAGGAACAGCGCTGCATCTCCGGTCTCCCAGTCGGAGAACTTGAGTTTGCCACGTCAGCCCTGCTCCGTTCACGGGATTCCTCGTTGGAGCTTGTGCTCATGGGCTCTGGAAGAGCTAGCCCATTGTACTGCGAGTTTCCCTAGTCATCCCTTGGACAGCCCCCAACATGCTGTTCTTAACCAGATCATGGAAAAGCAGAAAAGAAGGGTGTGGATTCACAGGGAGGAATGGGGGAAGAAGATTTTCCCCAGCTCACACCGTGACCAGCATTTTGGTTTCAGGCACCTCACTAGGTTTCTGAGGAGACCACGGAAGGTAGTGATGGGTCTGTCATTTCACAGATGAAGAAACGGAGGGTCTGAAAAGGGTCGAGTTAGTTGTCCAGAGTCATGGAACAGTTGTTGTTTGTTGTTTATTGCCTTCGGATCGAGCACAACTCACAGTGACCCTATGAACAAAAGGCCTGAAGCCCCTCTATAACTGTCGACATTTATCAAAGTTCATAGAGTTTCCGGAGGCTTGTTACTTAGGAGGTAGTTGCCATTCCTGCTTCCCAACCTGTCAGGGGTGTGTTTTTGCATGCCACTGAGTCGCTTGTGATGCATAGTGACCGTCTGCATGGAGCGGTTATGTTTCTATTTTTACAGGAAATGGTCAGGCAGAGAGATGAACACTCCCCGACCCCAAAGACCTGATTTCATCTATGGTTTTAAACATGACATATGTCTGGGTTTGGAACTCCCAGAGGAAACCTCTTTTGGCCAAAACAGGAGGAGATGTGTGTTGTGGCCCTAAGGAGTGTTTCTGGGGCTCAAGCAGAGAGAGGGGAGGTCCCCCATTGGCAGGGCCTGGTGAGCGCTGGTCTCCCTGCAAAGTGAAGTAGCCCAGTTGGGGATGCTTGGGGTTCCAAGGACAGTGAGTGTGATTTTGGGCAGTTGTAGAAAAGTTGTTCTATTTCTGTAAGCAGGGAGGAGACGCCCTTGCGGTGGACGTCAGAATCACGTGGTCACTTTTCTCATTTCTACAGGAAATAGGCGCACACAGAGAGGAGCTCAGCTTTGAACAATTCCATCTCTTCTACAAAAAGCTCATGTTTGAGCAGCAGAAGTCGGTAAGACGATTCGTAGCAAGTGCCCTCATGGTGTTTCCCTCCACTGCAGAGGCCAGCAAGTTCTCAGAACAGCCAGAAGTGCTCCGTCTCCTTCCGGTCAAATGCCTGTGCCTGGAGATGTCCTTGACCTACTCAGTTGGCAGAGGCTCTGAAATGCGATAAGGCAACGGGGCATGCAGTTTGTGTACCTTTTTGGTGGGAATGTGAATGGCTGTAAGTGAGTTTGGAACTTAATCCCAGTCTGTTAAAGTAGACACGAGGCAGTGGCGTTCGGTGGTGGAATGCTCACCTTGTCTCCTTTCTCTCATTTCGCTGTAGTAGAGAGACATTGGTAGAGGACTTTGACCAACGGAAGTGCGTTCTTGCTATCTAGGAGGCTGCAGCGTCCGCACTGAGAGTGCCAGGTCTAGGGGAAGGCCTGCTCTCTCTGTTCTGAAGGAAGGTCGTTCGTTTCCTTTAGCACGGCATGTGTAGGCCTGCTGTTCCTTGGACACCCCCCTGTGTCCGGGTCTTCAGTGTCCAGGAGCTTCCTGGTGCAGAGACCTGAGTCCAGGAGGTCACGCTCCACTCCTGGTGATTCTCCGGTAGAGATACTCTCTAGGCTTGCTCTTCCCTGCCCTCCCCCCTTGGTCTGTTGTGAGGTATAAGCTGTTACAGGCTGCGCTCTAGGCAACTTCTGTGACATTGGTTCAGGGCTGTGATGGGATTAAGGGACGTTGCATTCCCCCCTGAGTCCTCCTAAAACAGTTCCGTTTATCAGCTCATGGGGGATAAAGCTAGAACTTTTGCGTTTTGCCATTGCTGTGATGTGCTTTTGGAACCAACTCATATCTGACTCTCCATGTGCAATTTTAAAATGACAAGTTTTTTATGAAATAATTTCATGAGTGTTCACTAAGAGCTTGGTTTCCATTCATTCATTCACGCTCATTTTCCTCCCTCCAATTCCCTTTGTAATGCTTGTCCAGGCCTTTTGTTCATAGGGTTGCTATGAGTTGTGCTCAACTCAAAGGCAATCAACAACAACAACAACAACAACGCTTGTCCTGTTCTATTAATTGTCCTGCACACAATTTCTAACGGTCCATTCCTTCCAGACTGTCCTTTCACCCATTCCAGTCTTCATTATCTATCCCTTCTTTTCCCACTCTTTCCCCTCACCCCCTCTAGTGACCCCATTATTAAAACAGTGGTTTTATGCAGTATTTATCCTTTTTGTCACTGAGATATTTCACTCAGCATAGTGTCTTCCAGACTCATCCATGTTGTGTAGTGTTTTATGAGTTTGGTTTTCAATACTGCATACTATTCCATGTGTGAATGCACCATGGTTTCTGTTTGGTAGTTGATGGGCACTCGGGTTGCTTCCGTCTTTTTGCTGTTGTGAATAAGGTGGTGATCTGTTCATGGCATACATCTGTTTGTGTCGTAGCTTGGGACCTTCTAAACACCCAAAACTCCTGCAGTAGAGTAAGAACGAAGCCCACAGGCTGGGAAAAAATATTTGGTGATGATAAGGGACTCAGAACTAAAATTTGTAGAATACTTCAGCAAATAAAAAAACCCCAAACACAAAATGGGCACAAAGAGGGTCAGATGGTCAACATACACATAAAATTATGTTAAAATGCAAATATATTTTTACCTGGAGTGGCCCTTTTTTTTTTTTGAGTGGCCCTTTTGGGGCTCTGTTGCACAGAACTTGAAGCCCTGGGCCCCAGGGCTGTTTGTGTGAGTTGGTTACCGTGTTCCTTGCACGGGCTACAGACTCCGGGCTCGTCAGGCTGCCTCTCAGTGGCGACAGTGCTGGGCAGTGGAGCACATTTGTACATACAGTATGTCACTGAGAAGGCTACCAGCAACTTGAGCTCTTGATTTGGGTGACGCTCATGGCATTTTGTGAGGCTAGGAAGGGGTAGAGTCTGGAAGAGTTAGGTCTGGTGTTTTGTAAAGCATATGTCTTGGGCTGTTAGCCCGAAGGTTGGTGGCCTGGGCCCCTCAGTCACTCTCTGGGAGAAGGATGGGCAGTCCATTCCCCTTGGAGGAGAAAGGTGTGGCCGCCACAGCTCTCGATGGAAGGGTCAGAGTGAACTGGACGCCAGTGGACTGTTAGATTGCATTTGGATTTTTTTTCCCTTCACAATAGATTGAGTTACTAACACAAAGGTTAGAGGTTCAAATATACGAGCTGCTCCTTGGGAGGAAGGTAGATCGTCTCCTTCCATAGACATTTACAGACTCAGTAATAAATGAGTGTGTCTTCAGTGAGATGGCTCGACAGCACATAACATATACACAGAGCAAACAGGGCCTGGTCCTGCCGCAGTCTGTGATGTGTGGGAGCCATTGCTGCGGCCCTGTGACAGCCCATCTTGCTGGACATCATCTTTTTTATTACCCTCTGCTTTTTCATGCTGTATGTCACTGACCGTCTGCTTTTCCAGACTTAATGTCCTCTAGGGACTCTTCTCTGCTGAGGAACATACCCAGAATCCTTGAGACAAATGGCTAAGTGCTTGATTGTTAGTAGAAAGGTTGGGTGTTTGAGTGGCTTACTGTTAGTGTTAAGGTAATTGTGCTGTCAATGCAAAGGTACATGGTTCGAATCCATTACCAGCTTCTCTGTGGGAAAAATACGGGCAGTGGCCTTCTGTGTGGTTTACTGCCTCTGAAAGCCTGCTGGAGGTCAGTGTCCACTCTACATTAACAACACCTACACCAGAGGCTCCTTGGAGGAAAGGTCTGGAATCTCCTCCTCAAAACTCAGCCACTGAGGCTGTCAAAAATCAGTCTTGATTTTTTGTTTCTCTTAAGAATAAAAAGATCTGGCTATTATTGGGGGTAGTTCCCCTGGTGACATCTGTATGCGAAGGTGGTGAGCATTCCCTGGTCTTCCCCAGCCCTGCCCGTCTCTGTCCGCCTTTTTCTGTGGCTGAGTTTGCAGCCCGTGGTCACTGGCATTTCCCAGTATAGCTCTCTAGTGTGGCCACTGCGTTTTTCACTCAGTGACGTGGAATTTGAATTGCAAAGCCCCAGCTGGTATAAATAGTCTCTGGCCAGCTAGAGAAAACCTCAGGGCTGTTCTGTAGGCAAATACCCCCTCCCCACCCCGAGTTGTTGGCAGAACCCTCCCCTTCCAGAGTCCATTGCTGGCAGCATCTTGTGGTGAAGGTGTTCTCCTGGGGTGCTCAGCTGGGTTTCTGGGGCTCCTTGTGGAGGAGAGAGGCACCCTAAAAGATGCCTAATGACTCCTCAGCTGTGTTCCCGGGAGTGGGGTCATGTTTAGCCGAACACTTTCCCCCTGGGGGTCTCCCCGGTGCCTTCCTGGTGTCTAACCACCTGGTCATGGAGTCGCCCGTAAACCTCAGAGTTTCCCAGAGCAGCAACAGTGAGACCAGAAACTGAATCTCACATGAGCCCCTGGTGAAGGGGGTGGTGGTTGTACAGCTGGTTGCCACTGAGTACATCACCTGTGCGAAGCAGAGCTGCGCCCCAGGGTTTTTAAGGCTCTGACCTTTTGGAAGCAGGTGGCCAAGCCCGTTTTCCGAGTTGCCTTTAGGTGAGTGCGAACCGTCCACCTTCTGGCTGATAATCATGCGCTTAACCATGTTGTCTCCCAGGGGCTCCTAACTAGATCATGAATTCAGCGCTCAGCTCAATGCCCACGAGTGGGAACTGAGTTTCACTGCCTGCCAGCCGTGCGACTTTGGACCTGGCTCCCACTCCTCTAAGTGGAAGGGGCCTCTTAGCATTGAATGTGTCAGACTGCTCCCTCAAAGGTTAGTGGTTCAAATCCACTGGCTGCTTCTTGAGAGACGATGGACAGTTTCTTCTTCTAAAGATTTACAGCCTTGAAGCCCAGTGGAGGGGGCCATGAATCACTGAGTCATCGGCGGTGAGTTTTGTGTAGATAGAGGATTGTGGCGTCTCCCTGGAAGGAAGACTAAGTTGAATGAGAACGGAAGGCAGGCGGGGTGAAATCACTCCTTCCTAGTAACTGGCCGGCCCTGCGGGATCCGTGTGTCTGGTTAAGACAGCGAGAGGGTTTGATTGAGCATATTTAATTTAACTGGAAGTTTACAAATCGTACTTGATTTTTATTCAGTCATTCATGTTGGTTTGTGTACCACAGAGTCGGAACTGACCCTTAGCTGACCTTCCAGTGAGTTTTCAGAGGCTGTTAATCGCACAGGCAGAGATAGCCCATCCTTCTCCCACGGATGCAGCTCATGGCCTAATTTT